AGTCAATATCTCCCAGAAACTTTTGAAAACCATTAATAGTTGTTCACTAATCTTTCCTGATTTGTACTTTCTGTGGTTGAATTTTTTGTAAATCTATAATCTCCTTTTTTATATTTTTTCAGGAGCAATTTGTAAACCCCAACAAGGCAAAATCTTCTTTACCTCTTCAAATATTTTTCTAAGGCATCTGCATCTGAATCAGCTAGTAAGATATCATTCATATAATGGTAAATTATAGATTGAGGAAACAGTTTATTTATTATTTTAAATGGCTATTATATAATATATTGATACAAATTGAGGCTGCTTAAAAGCCCTTGTAGAAGAACTTCCTACTGGTATTTTTCGACATGCTAAGAGTTATCATAAGTAGGTACTGTGAAGGCAAATTTTTCTTTATTGTGGTCTTGTAAAGATACAGTATCTACCAGCTCTTCAATTTCAATGCCATTTATTTGTATTTTTAGCTATAGTCTCTGATCGTTCATAGCAGTTTGTCAAAATACTTGTTTTATGTTCTCTTCTGAAAATCATGTTTTATCTACTGAAGCTGTTCTGTCATCAGGGAAGTGTTGTTTGTAACAATAGGCATTAAATCTCTTAATTTCTCTGTGGAGGGGTTTCTCTAATAATGACAGGGGATGATTGAATCAAATTTGACATTGGGACCTGAAAGAGGTCCCCTCAGACATTTTCCAATGGCAAAGGATTACCTTGTCTGTCCTTTGCTGATCTGTATTCATAAATCAATGCTGGCCTTTGACACATCTTCTACATACTCCAGAAGTCTAGAACCTTCTGCTTGGATTATCTCTTTTTAAAAAAAAGTCTCTAAGAATGCCTTGCCTATAATCCCTTTTAAGAAGACCTGGTTTACCACAATTAAAACATCTAACCTTTTGGAATTCCTAAAAATTTTAAAAACCACTTCTCCTGAGTATCATCATAAGTGTGAGATCCAGTATCTGCTGTGTTTTTAATACAGTCATCTAAGGGTGTTGATTTTGCCTTTTGAAGCCCAATAACCTTTTTGCATTCTTAATCAGCATTTTTAAAGCAAAAATGTTCAAATGATATTTGTCTAACTTCTGAATCTGATATTATTCTACTTACAACTGAAGTCAATTTTTGTAAAAAAAAAATTAGTGAAGACTTCTTTTGGGCCTTGTATAATTTTAGTAAATGCTTCAGTCCTCTTTTCTGATTCTTCAACCCTGTTCAAAGCATTCAAAGCTGCTATATGGTGCAGAACCAAGGCATGATCATCAAATCTAAACTGTCTTTGCAAAGCAGCATGCTGGCCCTCACTGAGGAACTATGTCTTGGGAAATTTCCATACCTCTAACCCTACCTTATTGTTTTATGACCCTAGCTTGCTTTTGTCACCATATTTTCCATTGCAACTGAGGGTCAGCTTTCAATATTGTTGTAATTAAATATTTCCAGTCTTGTTGAAAAATCCTGTTCCGAGTTGCCCATAAATTTAACATCTGCTTCACAAATGGTGAGTGTATACCATATGAAGCTACTGCTTCCTAAATCTCTTCAAATATAACAATTCCACAAGATCTCAGTTAACTGCGTAGCCTCGGGGATGCCTATCATCTGGTGGTTGTTCTTGAATGGTCATTAGATATATTAAGGTTGGTTTTCTAATAACCTTTGGCTGGTCTGCTTCAGTTTGATTATCCCTTAACTTATATTTTCAATTTTCAAACCATCCATTGTGGAACCATAAAGGGACCTAACTCCCTGCACTGTAATATTGGTTCCCACTTTTAATATGAAAAAAAAAATCTTTTTAAAAAATTTTTTTATTTATTTATTTTTTAATTAAAAATTACTGCCTCCTCCCATCCCCGAACTCCTTCCCACTGCCCCCACTCCTCCTCCCTCTCCTGTACTAAGAGAAGTCAGGGTTCCCTGCCCTGTGGGAAGTTCAAGGCCCTCCCTCCTCCATCCAGGTCTAGGAAGGTGTGCATCCAAACAGACCAGGCTCCCAAAACGCCAGTACATGCTGTAGAATCAAAACCCGGTGTCATTATCATTGACTTCTCAGTCCACCCTCATTGTCAGCCACATTCAGAGAGTCCGGTTTGATCACATGCTCATTCAGTCCCAGTCCAGCTGGCCTTGGTGAGCGCCCATTAGATCAGTCCCACCGTCTCTGTGGGTGGACGCACCCCTCACAGTTCTGACTTCCTTGCTCATGTTCTCCCTCTTTCTGCTCTTCATCTGGGCCTTGGGAGCTCAGTCCAGTGCTCCAATATGGGTCTCTGTCTCTATCTCCATCCATCGCCAGATGAAGGTTCTGTCTGGATGGAACTCCTCAGCACCGAAAAATTCTTTTTTAAAAGCTAATTGCTCCATTAAGAATTCTCAGGTATCTGACCAGATCTGATAACAAAGGCAGCGAAGTGTGAGGCTGGATGTTGCTGCACTGTGTGGCTGGGCAGAGAGTGTGGGCAGTTCACAGACTGGCTGAGGACAGACAGCTGCAGCTGTTCTCAGGGAGCTGGGGTTGAGAGTGTATGGTGGTGGCAGTAGTGGTAAAAGCCTGAGCAGGAGTCGAGGTGGCCAACCTGGCATGGCAGCAGCCAGAACGGGGTCCAGGGAAAGTCCTCAACCCTCAGGGTTAGGAACTGAGCCGCTTGAACAGTAGACACAGGATAACATAGACATAGTCCTGAATGACGGCACTGGCCGACAGTGAGCTGCTACTTTTGTTAGCTTTTGGGACCCAACTACCTGTAGCTTTTGGGGCTGGGGAAGGGCAGCATCTGGAAGCTTGTGTAGAAAGGCTTCAATGGGAAAACCCCAGACTCACACGGAGGGCCAGAGGGAAGGAAAGGAAAACCAGCCATGACAGTGACTCCAGAGCTGCAAAACTGGGGGCAAGTGGCTACCTCATGATCTGATGTCCTAATTTAGACACAAGATGAAGCATATATCTAGTTATTCTTTTATCAAAAACTTGTAAGTCAGATAGTAGGGTAAAACCTGACTGATCAGAGAAGCAGCAGTGGAGAAGCAAAAAGTGATCTCCTCTCCCTCTCCTTTCTCGATTCTAAAGGGCCAAGCATCTCTCTAAGACCCTCCGTACTACTTCCTAAGTCTCTCTATATGTCCAGGGCCCTCCAAAACCTCTATGGCTAATTTGTCAGCTAATAGATAGTTCAGGCTGATTCAAGGTAAACTTTATGTATTGTCAATCTTTTTTTTAAAGATTTATTTAATTTATTATGCATGCAGTGTTTGCCTGCAAGTGTTCCTACACACCAGAAGAGGGCACCAGATCTCATTGCAGATGGTTGTGAGCCACCATGTGGTTGCTGGGAATTGAACTCAGGACCTCTGGAAGAGCAGCCAGTGCTCTTAACCACTGAGCCATCTCTCCAGTCATCTGACAGTCTTGGGAGTGTCAGAACACAATCAAAATATCCTACAGCATCACCACTTTGACAAAATCCAGAATCTCTTCATGATAAAGCTCTTGGAGATTTTAAGGACACAAGGGACATATCTCAACACAATAAAGACAATATAAACCATCCAAAATCCCAGCATGAATGGCATGGAGTTCATGAAGTTTCATCCCCAGAGCAGGAGCTATTGGCAGGGTTGGCTGCTGGGGGAGGTGGAGTGTGGAGTGTGGTTCTTGTGAGGCTACCCATGCTCCATAGGTCTTACGCCCAAGTACATACTGAGCAGACACAGTAGGCTTAAAAAGAAAAACAGCACATAAAACTTGGAGGGAAAAGAAGTGAGGTGGATAAAGGGCAGGTTGTAGTGGAATGAATAAGGGTGGGTTTGTTAAATGTGAATTCTACTCATGAATCAAATCTTGAAACAAAAATAAATTCATTTCAAAAAATGAATTAGAAAGTCAAATGTATGGTTGTAAGCTTTCTTTCCATTTATGTAGTCAGAGGCTGCTTGTTTGTTTCCCGGCTGTTCAGACCTGAAATAATCACTCAGAAACTATATTAATTGCAATACTGTTTGGCCAATAGCTTAAGTGTATTTCTAGCTAGTTCTTTTATCTTAAATTAACCCATTTCTATTATTTTATATTTTACCCTGAGGCTCTTGGTTTACTGGTAAGGTTCTCGGGCATCTGTCTCCTTTGGCTGTGGCTACGTGGCATCTGACTCCATCTTCTTTCTCCCAGCATTCAGTTTAGATTGCCTACCTAGCTCTATTCTGCCCTTCCGCAGGCCAAAGAAGCTTCTTTATTAACCAACAAAATCAACACATATACAGAAGGACTTCCCACACCACATTTACATGACTTAGTCTTTAAATGAAGGATATCAATTTCAAAATCAGATTCTTAAAATGCCTAATAGAAATGCTGGTAAAGAATTTTAATTTTAATTTAAAAGAATGCTAGTATATCAAGTTGATTTGTTTAATCTAATTTCCCTACTCAAGGGTACACATTATTCCAATGTGGGAATGCTGCTGAAGGTCCCTTTGTGACTCTGTCTGGAAGAAACATGGTCCATATTGACAGAAAATAATGCAATAAATGAAAGTCTGGAGACATGAAGGTGTGAAAGTAAATTTTTGAAGGACAGTTTCACTTTAAACTCTGGTTCTACTTGGGCAATAGATACAAATACAGGAGAGATCCAGTTGATAGAAGAGAACACAGAGGGGGTCTGGGGAGGAGTAGACTAGACCACAGTCTGTTTGGAGCTGGTTGAGCCTCTCCCTCTAGAGATGTGCTGACAGCCATGGTATTCTCCTGAGCAGCAGTACATTTTAAGTTTCAAGACTTAAAGATGTGTCTTTCTTGTTGTTGGAGAACATGGATGTGATCTGTGCATTAAACAGCATAGGAGATAAACTAGATCCTAGGGAGTAGAAAGAAGAGGACGATCTGGTGGTCATCCAAAGTCTCATTCTATAAGCCTCTTATTCACTGGACTGTGCACTCTCTCTCTCTGTGCCTGTATTTCATTTCAATTCTCAAAAATAAAACAGATGTCAATAGGAACGTCCATTTCCTTTTGCTGCATTTATTAGTGGATTACTCCGCATATTCTGAAAACTCTATTTGCAGGTTATGTTGAAACATCAGTCAGTACCACGGATTTTAACAATGGGAACAAAAAAGCCTCACTTTTACTTTTATTAGAGTTACACATACATATATGGTCCTTATAATCTGTAATAGGTGTTTTCTCATGCTGGATTTTGGATTTTGGGTGTTGCTACACTCCTGTTCCTCCTTATGTATTCAAATCATGTCTTCTGTGTTCATTTGCATTTAGTCCAAAGGATTTATTTCTGGCATTTCACAAATCCAACGCATACTGTAAAAACACGGTATATCATTCCAATTCTTCCTGGGATTTCCAGAGTCCCTTATGGTGACACAGTCCTCCACGTAAACTATATTGTTAGGCTCCCCAGCATCCCAGAAGCTGTGAAGGGAAACATAGGAGATTTTAAATCTCAGGAAAAGGAGACAATGTTGGCAGAGGTTTCTGTCCCACCAGGTCTCATAGCTGTTTAGTCCCAAATAAACACACAGAGGTCTACATTAATCATAAACTGGTTGTTATTAGCTCAGGCTTCTTATTAACTCTTATAACCTATGTTAGCCCATAATTTTTGTCTGTGAAAAAGGCTTGGTACCTTTTTCAGTGAGACATTCTCATCTTCCTTCCTCTGCATCTTGGTGATGACTGCAGACTGAATCTTTCCTCTTCCCAGAATTCTCCTGTTCTCATTGCCCTGCCTCTACTTCCTGCCTAGTCACCCCACCTATACTTCCTGCCTGACTACTGGCCAATCAGCATTTTATTAAACAAGTACAAGTAACAAATATTTACAGAGTAAAACCATTGTTTCACAGCAAGACAACACATTATTTAACTATCAATTATAAAATTATAATCTCCATTTTATCAATGAAGAGAAACCCACTTGCTTATGTCCTAAGCTGGTGGGATCTTCCTGGATTTCTATACTGTCCTGCAGTGCCATAGATTTGGACCCAGAAAGAGATGTCATGATACGGACTGGTGATCTGGACCAGCAGCTGTACCGCTCTGCCCTCCTACCTCCTGCTACTCTTGCTCTCTTTGTTCTCCAAGGGCATCCTTCACTGTGCAGTGAAGCATGTCTTCTCTGGATTCAGGGCAGCCAAGCCCTGGATTCATAACTGCTGCTTGTTAGCTGAGTCAGTCACTTAGTCCCTTTGATGCCTAGTTTCCTCAAATGCTTGGTAAAGATGATGTTGACATGTCTCAGAAATGTGTAATTTCAATAAAGAGAAATCATAAAAACAAACTGCAAACTCTAAAATGCGATGTAATAATGACATAAGGTCATTATTAAGGGGAAAGGCAATAAGATCATAGGAATATTCTGTCCTTTCTAAGTTACTATATTTCACTTATTTCTATTTTAGGGCATAAGATTAAACCTTATTCTTTTTAAAATCTACAGTGCAGTCAGTGATCTTCAGTTCTAATTTCCCTATCATTTTCATCTATTATTTCTTTTCCATCCTTTTGGCATTCCTAGGGAATAAAAGGCTTAGAAGCCTGTACCTCCAATTCCCCTCTTCTGCATCTAATATCACCAGGGATGGACCTGAACCTGTGTCGTCATAACAAACGCCAGTCTGAGAATTCCCTCAGCGTGGTCTCACTATGATTACCTGTGACAGTTTCCCCACAAGACATACTTGCCTCAGGGACTCTGTGAAAGGCGTGTCATCCACCCATTGCCACTGCCCCTCAACCACTTGGTCTGTCAGTCCAATATAAAACTCTTTCCCCTTGGGCTTTGTCTGAAAAAGGAATTCCTAAGGAAGAGACATAACAATGGCAGTAACAGCAACAATGCTAAAAGACATGGTCAGGTATCTTGGTTCTGAAGAGACACTGAAAGTAATCAGTTTTCAAAAGAGAAGAAGCAGAATTGAGATCACACACTAAAGAAGCATTCTTAACACTGTAAGTTTACTGAAGGCTATCTACTAATTTTTTATTGTGAGAAACTTCAAATAACATAATTCAGTAGATAAAAACCCCTCTAACCTCTAAAAGGAGTTTCTAAGAAATTCGTTCAAAGGTGGTCTATAGCTAACGGCGGTCACATCCGAGGTATCTATTTATCATGAGAAATTAATCATAGCCGGGAGACAATGGGTAGTAGTTGTTTGCCCTCATTCACACAAGGCATTCATCAACAAAATATTATTTTAAAGTCAGCTCCTTCTCCCCCCATTGTGGTTAATATCAAATCTCTTCTTGTAAATCAGCCTTTTAAAGGTTCTCATAATGCGGAGCCTAAAGTACACCACGTGGCAAAACAGTGGCAGCAGCACCCATCTCAGCCCGCTCCTTTGGCAGACACCTGTGGCTCAACCCTTGTGCACAGGTGGGGGAAGAAAGATCGGCAAGACATCCCATCGACACAGAGGAGCCTGTTTGCCAATTACCTGCTCTTCCCACGTGTTGATAACCACCAGGTGAGCGCCCATTTCTGAGCAATTCTTTAAACTTGAGGGCCAGGTCAGGGTGGTCTTAGAGAAAAAGTAACAACTGGACTGAAAATGTTTCCAGTTCAAAGGACAGCAGTTCCCGACAGACCCTGGAAAGAGAGAAGTTTCAGGGAGTGCCTGGGAATTCTGCTTGGGATCTGGTGGAGTCCAACACCCGGAGCCCTGAGCTTAGAATCTCCCTTGAACCCCGCACCTTGCTCTTTAGGACTCTTAGGTAATTCCAGTGTCAATAAACCAAGCAGCAATTTTGTCTTTGGAGCATAATCTCTATTTTCTAGCTGGCAGGACCGGTAAGGACAGCGATATGTGCAGTTTCCCTGGGCTGTGCAGTCGCCACAGAACTCAAGTGTCTGCACTTGGGCTAGCAAGGTCACTCCTGAATTTTCTGTGGTTGGCTCCCAGACAAACCCCCTTGGCAGCTAAGCAGTTCTCTGGATAAATGTTTTAGAACTACAGAATTTCAGTCATTGAATTTTATTGAACTAAATCTCTCTTAATTTAATGACAAGAAAATTGTGGTTCAAGGAAGTAACTTCCTTGGGCAGCGTCCAGGAGCATTTTGTTATGTTTTGGACTACCCTGATACATGAGAATATTTGAGTATTTTTCCTTAGGTATTTTAAAATTCTCTGTACATGTTTTTCTCCTCCACTTCATTTTGGAAGCGAGTTAATAAAGAAAAACTTCCGTTCCTGGCATTAAACCTTTTCTGAGTTCGCATTTAGAGGTATACTTGAAATTTATTCCCAGGGTTTACTGTAATGTTCCTGAGATCTCTGACCCAAGGACACCTGCATTTCCAGTGGTTTGTCCCTCTGTTCTCAGCATCCTTCCCCCACTTCTGCGCAGGCAGGATTTAGCCTCTTGTTTGGAAAAACAGAAAATAATCCCGGTAGATCTTCCTTATTCTAAAGACAGTCTAGAGCCTAAAAGCGAGTCGTCATATATGCTTTAGTGTTCAGCTTTGCAGACGCTTGTACCTGACGTGACACGGTAACAGGAGAGCTCCTTGGCAGTTTTATGGGACAGCAGCTTTTTCTGATCGTCAATTTGACTGCTGCGATACGTTACTGCAAGAGGAAAGGGCCCCGGTCAATGCATCGAATCCTTTTCAGTAATGAACCCCTTGTCCTCAGTTCTCTGCTCGTCACAAAACGGCCAAGAGTGATCGGGAAGTTTCCACACCACCTTTTTCCCCCTCCACGCCCTTCCTCAGAGAACGAGTAATTCACAGTTCATGGCTTTCCTTACTTATAAAGAATAAACTACTTCAGCTCAAAAATACGTTTGCAGTCCCTGCAGCGCCGAGTGCGACCATTTAGAGCTTCCGTCCACAAAGCAAATTTTTGTGCCTTTGACCTTGACCAGTCCCCTGCGCTGCAGGTTAGCATTTCATAGAGAAGACTGGCCGAATGATAGGGGTCTGAGAGGAAAACGCCAAGGGTACGAAGGGGGTGGAAACTATATCTCACAGAAACATGTAGAACTGACTGAGATTCTGCCCCGGTTTTAGGCTAGTTGAGTTTCTGGTTTAGGAAATAGCCTGGAGCTTGAGGGTGAATAGGAAGGAAAGTGAAAGAAAACGGCCCTATCAGTCTAGTCAGAAACCCGTTGCAGGGGACATCATAGGCCTAACTGAGCCTATGAATACTGCTGTCTATGCATCCGTGTTTAGCTCTTCGTCAGAGCAGCCTCTCCTTCTGATGAACGGCAGAGAATGCAGAAACGCACGGCCACACACCGTGCTGAGAGAGAGTGACGGATGAGTGCTTGGCTCTAAACGAGACAAGTGTCGCCCACTTGATGGTCCAGGGAACATTGCAGAAGAGGGAAAGGATGGAAGAGCCAGAAGATAAGGCGAAGAGCTGCGAAATGTCATCTTCGGGACCCGACACAGCTCTGACAGTCATAGCCAGCAGCGGCTGCAGGTGACTGCACTGGGTTTGCCATAGAGGGGGCCCATTCGCTCCCAGGTGGTGTGGGAGAATTGTCTGTACTCTGTCAATCATGTTTTAAATAAATGCTGATTGGCCAGGCAGGAAGTATAGGCGGGAAAACCAGACAATAAGTAAAAATGATACAATGAGAACAGGAAAATTCTGGGAAGGAGGAAGCTGATTCCTCCCAGTTCGGTCCAGACCACCGGAGAGGCAAGATATAAGCTGCCCCGCTGAGAAAGGTACCAAACCCTGTGGCTAATGTAGATAAGGATAATGGGGTAATATAAGTTATAAGAGCTAATATAAAGCCTAGGCTAATCTCTATAAGATTTTCTTTGGGGCTTGCAGGTTGTGGGGTACTGGGCAGGACAGAAACCCCAACAAGCAGGCCCCCTCATGTTACACCCAGACATTTGTCGGAGGGGGACCTCAGAAAACCCTGTTCTCTGTTGGGCTCTTTCCTATTGTTAGATTCAGGGAGAAGGGAGATTGTTCTCTTCAACTGTGTACCCACAGATGTATCCCAACATCCCCCAATGTGACCCCATCTAATGATCACATAGATGGCCCATGTTAAACTAAACGGGTCACCAAACCAAACCAAAAGTCATGAAGCTGGGAAAGGGACTACGTGGGGACTGACAGTGAGGATAGGGTCATGAGAGGCTGTGTGAGAAGGAGCAATCAGAATACATTATACACAAGCAAGAAACTATTAAAAACCAAAACCAGCCAAAAATCATAAAGTACTGCATATATAAAACTTTGTAAAAAAGACTCTTTATAGGACAAGTGGTGCACCAAGCAAGAATCTACTGCCATATTAGCTGTGGAGAAATAGAGTGAATTAGACTTTGAGAACCCACCAACACATCTGGTGATGAAACAGACACTGAGAAACAGGATGGAGGCCCCAGCCACGGTCCACGGGAGCACTTGGGAATTTCTGAAGTATCCTCTTTCTATAGGAAGAAAGACATAATGCACTGTAAATCTTCCCAAAGCAATACTCAAAAGAGAGTTGAGTCAATTCTCTCCTTACTACGTCCTATTCACAATTGCCTGTATCTAGTAATGCCCAGGCTCGTCCATGCATCCGTGTTGTATGGATATGTCTGCCCATGTATCTGGGTTGTATGTATGGAGATTGCTGAGCCTTGCCCATCCCACCCCAGAGTTAACTCAGGAGAGTTGTGTGACAACAATCTACTTCCAGGAACTGCTGTCCTGGAAACCACACCTTAAGAACTCCTGCTGTAATCCATTGCTGATTTTAAGACTCAGACTTATATGTATGCTCAGACTTATACTTTTATTTCTAACCGCCCCATTTAAAATGCTTCTGTACTCTAGGACCTTCCTTTTCTATTTCGTTCCCTTCTTTTCTTCTCTTTTTACTTAATTCCCCCCCTTAGCTTTTCTAGTCTCTCTCCTAGTGTCATCTCCTCAGCATCTCATATTCAAGATCATTGTAAATTAAATAAAACATAACAGTCTTGCAGTGGGTACTTCTTTTCCCCCAATATGCACTTTACGGGCAGGTAAAGTGAATTCCACAGAAGCAAAAGACTTGTTCAAAGATAGTCAGAGTATCGCAGAAGGTAGGAACAGCGATCTGGCAGCCTTTCCTGGACACCTCAGCCAGCTTTCTGCTAATTCTGATCTTTCTTCTCTTTCTTTTTCTTTCCACCTCACTCTGTACTTTTCCCTTGCCAGAGCCTTGTCCATTCCTTGTGCAAGTCAAGGAAGACTGGCAGATGGTACCTGTGTGGTGGGAGGCAGACGATTTCGGTGAATACATTTCTCTTTCTTCTCTTTCTTCTCTTTCTTCCCTTCCTTCCTCTTCTCAGTTTAATAAGAGCCCGTGGAAAGTGAGTCTTGACAGGTGAATTCTTCCCCTGTTTTGAACAGTACAACCCTGACAGATTTGATATAACAGTGTGTTCATGTGCTTTGTACAGTGAAGTCAGAGTTTCCCTTCTTGCACAAGGACAGGGAATTCATTGGACAACATGTCACTTCTCTCTCCAGACCACAGAAGAGGAAATGATGGGGTAGGTGGCAAACACCAAGGGAAATGGCTGAGGGGCCTGAAAAAAACCTTGTTTTATTTTGGTGGGTAAACGCTTTACTTTCTTCAGAGTCTAACTCTGGCACTATGGGACCCAGCCCTACATCCTAAATTCTGTTTTGTTGGGTTTTTTTTCTAACTGTACCAAAGACATATTTGTTCACAGGAGGCTGAGACTCTGAATTCTCCCTGCACACAGCACACAGCTGGGCACACTGTGTGCATATTTATAGGTTAGCAGCGAGAGTCTCTTTTCATCTTTTTTGTTCCTCTTTCCTTACCAGCGTTGGAACACTCACTGTGTGGACTCTGATCCCCTTTATCATGATGTTAACTGCTGGATTGTTTCCTAGACAAGCCGCATGCTATTTTGCCAGCCAGTTCAGTTTCTTTCGCTGACACACAACCTCTGCAGACTCACTGGATGCTTTAACTCTGTGTTTAATTATTTGGAAATTTTAGGGGAGGAACAGATTTGAGTGTCAGAAGTAGCAATTTCGGCTAGATGGTAGAATGCAATGCTTCTCTGGAATCTTTCTGAAAGACACCATGAGTCACACAGTATCCGTTGTCTAAGGCAGAATTCTGTCAGGAGGCAGAATTGCTAAACACATGACTTAGCAATCCCCGTGCTTGATGAGCCGGGCTTCCTATATGCTGCACATTATTTTTGGTCTCATGGAAACTTTCTATTATTTCAATAGATTGGAAATTTTCCTCAGTAATTTTCATTTTCAGACACCCAGATTTTTTTCAAGTATTTTAAATCATATTTTTAATTGATATGATTTAGCTGCATTGTCACTAAAATTCCATCTGTAAAATTATTGTCCCAAGGGAGAAAGTTTTGTGGGCTTTAAGAGCTGAGCCCTTGTGGAAGGGCCTTAGCTTCCACACTTCTGAAGGAGTGTGATGTATTTCTGTCTTCTATGGTTCTTTGGCTTCTGTTATGGTGTACCACCTTTATGAAGACCCAAATCATGGGCTGTCCAATCTTTGACCTGATGCTCCAAACAAGCGTGGCAAAGGAAAACTCTGTTTCCCTCACAAATGACCCATGTCAGGCATTTCATTGTAGTGACGGAAAGGCACATAGCGTTCATGCACAGTATACACCATACATACGATCAATATACATATTGTTAGTAAAAGCTGTTAAATTAAGAATTGAAATTATGTTAACTTTTTTATTAATCTTGATGCATCAGTAATAACCCATATTGATAGATAGTTATGTTAATGTTATATTATTGATTATAAATATGCAACTGACTAGATATTAATAAGTATTCTACTAACCAGAATATACATTTATATTATTACATTTTTTCTTTTGCACCTTTGGTTTTGTACTACAATGAACTTCATTATGACATTTTCTTGCATGTGTATAATGCACTGTTATCAGAGTCTCCCTGCTACCCTCTCTTGTTTTCTCTTTCTCACTGATGCTGGTCCTCTTATGAGCTGGTCTTCTTACATTTATGATTTTCTTCCTGTAACCCACTGCATTTTACTAGGCTTTCTTGCAGGGTGCTGGGTGAGAGATTATTTATAAATGTGTACTCCTCCTAAGAAAAGGCTCTCCCTGCCCCAGAAACCACTACTAGATACAGAGAGGGGTGGAACCCATGGTCTTATCTGTCTTTAAGTCCTCAGGGAGAGGTGTGGCTTAACAGGACCCTCCCACCAGCTTGATATTGACAGGCCTGAGCTTGTATAGTTTGTGTGCTGATAAACATAACTGCTGTGAGATAAGAGTGCAAAAGTCATGCCCTGCTCTGAAGACAATGATCACTTAATTCTACTCCTTCCATGCTCTTACACAGTTCTTTCTCCCCTCTTCTACATTGTTCCCTGAGCCTTGTGGAGTGTGTGTGTGTGTGTGTGTGTGTGTGTGTATGTGTGAGTGTGTGTGTGTGTGTGTATGTGTGAGTGTGTGTGTGTGTGCATGTGTGTGTGTGTGTGTGTGTGCTATGCCCTACTGTGGCTGAGTATTCGGCAGTCTCTTATTCTCATTGTTTTGATCAGCAGTGAGTTTCTGCAGTTACCACTGCCCACTGTAAACGGGAGTGTCTCTGATTTATAGGTATAGTTATCATTTGGGAACTCTCTATTCCATTATCTAGCTCATTTTAAAATTGAGTTCTTTGTTTCCTTGGTGTTTATATTTTTGATTCTTTGATTAGTCTAGATACCAGTCCTTTGTCAAAAGCATAGGTAGTAAAAGTTTGTTCCCATTTTGTGGATTGCCTCTTCACTCACCTGGTGTATCCCTTTGCTGTGCAGTGGAGTCTGTTGTTGTCTGCTGTGCTGCAGGAGTCCTATGCAGTGAGCCTTCACCAGTGCCTAGACATCAACGCATCCTCCTTAATTTTTCATCCCAATAGTTTTAAAACATCAGGGCTTAGGTGGAGATTTTAAGTCCATTTGAAGTTGGGCTTTGTGCAAGGTGAGAGGTAGAGATCTAGCTGCAATCTTCTACACGTGCGTATTCAAGTTTCCCAGCACCATTTGCTGAAGAGGCTATCCTTTCTCCAATGTGTAGCTTTGGCATCTTTGTGAAAAACTCAGCCTAGGCTGTGTGGACTTGTGTCTGGGTCATTATTCTCTTCCCCTGGTCTGCGTGTCTTTGTGTCAGCACCATGTCGTTTCATTACTATGGGACGTAGTATCATTTAGATTCAGTTAGGATGATACCAAGGACTTCTTGTACAGGGTTGCTTCCGCTATCGCTGGTCTTTTGTGCCACCAGATTGCTTTTAGTAGCATGACTGTAGAATGAGGGGCCTTGCTTGTTTGGGTTTTTGTTCTGCCCTGTTCCCCCAGCTGTTTAGTCCCAAAGTAAAATCACACAAGAGATCTCTGTAAGTTATAATGCTGATTGGCCTGTTAGGTCAGGCTTCTTATTGGCTAACTCTCACATCTTGATTAACCCATTTTTCTGATCTATGTTAGCCATGTGGCTCAGTACCTTTTTCAGCTGGGGTAGCTCACATCCTGCTGCTTCAGTGATCTGGGCAGGAGTGGGAAGAATCAACTTCCTCCTCCCCAGAATTCTCCTGCTCTCTTTGCATCATTTCCACTTCCTGTCTGGTTTCCCCGCCTACACCTCCTGCCTGGCCAATCAGCGTTTATTTAAAACATGATTGACAGAATACAGACAATTCTCCTGCACCACATGACTGCTTCGACTAGACGAATTTTTGCAATCTATAAACTTGGCAGATTTTCCTATTCTCTAGTGGTTTTTTTCCTCATTTTTGTCTTCAGAATCTAAAAGTTTGCATTATAAAGGTTTTTTTTTTTTTTACTTGTTTCCTTAGGTTTATTTCCAGGTTTTGTGGGGTTGTTTTTTTCTCTCTATCTCTGACTCTTACTCTCTTTGTGTGTTTATTGGAATGTGATTATTTCCATGTGTTGGATCCCTAGAGGACAGGCCTTCGCACCCCCACTTGATCTGTTTTGCACTCTTGCACTTGGTTGAAAACAGGAACAAAAACAGGAACAACCTGTTGTTTTCAGCAATGTTTCTAAGGATGTTCACCCCGAAGTCATTGAGTTATAGTGACGAGCTTCCTGCTTTTGCTGTCTTAGCCTCCCCTGCTGAGGGCTATATATATTGTGTGAGAATGTGGAATAAAGGCTTGTCTGCAGAACCTGAAGTTGTGTTGCATGTTAATCCTGACGTCCCTTGCTCAGAAGAAGGACAGTTGTTGTGCTGGCACGACACCATGATTTCATTTTCAGTATTTGTCCTTGATAAGTAGAAAGACTCCCAATTCTTGTGTGCCTACCACTTGATGAAAGTGTTTATCATCTCTCTGAGTTTTTTGGTAGCCTTTAGGGTTTGCTCTGTGTAATGTTATATCACCTACAGTTAGAGATAATTTGATTTCTTCTCACATATGTGTGTGTGTGTATTCTTTTATTATTACTCTAGATTACAAGAGAGTAAACATTCTTACATTGCTTCTGATCTCAGTGGGAATTCTTTTTCTCCAGGATATTGACTATGGATTTGTGAGGCAGACACTATATCTCTCCTCTCCAAGATGGATGCAGGTTAAGATCCTTCCTGGTAAGCCACCACCTCGTGGTGCTACACACATTAATAAAAATGGGTTAATCAAGATGTGAGAGTTAGCCAATAAGAGACTGGAACTAATGGGCCAAGCAGTGTTTAAATGAATACAATTTCCGTGTAATTATTATGGGTCTAAGCTAGCCGGGATCCGCAGCCCACTGCTCATACTACAGAGTGTCACCCAATGTGGGGCTCGAACCCACGACCCTGAGATTAAGAGTGTCTTCATAATGTTGAGGTATGCTCTTTCTATTCTTAATCTCTTCCAGGATTTTGTCATGAAGACACATTGAATTTTTTTCAGAATATGAATCTATTGAAATGATCGTGCTACTTCTAACTTTGAGTCCATTTAGTTGATGAACTACATTTATTGATTTATGTATGTTGAATCATCTGTGTATTGCTTGAACAAGGCCAAGTTGATCACTGTGAATGATCCTTCTAATATGATCTTAAATTTTGTTGACAAGTATTCTATTGGTTTCTTGTGTCTATATTTGCCAGGAAGTTCAGACTCTAATTTTAATTTCTGTAATGTCTTTATCTGTTATTGTTATCAGGGTAGAGTGGTCTTTATAAAAGACTTTGGAAGGATTCCTTTATTTTTCTCATTTTATGAAACAATTTGAATACTAGTTGGTGTAAGCCATTCTTTGAAGTTCTGGTAGAATCCTGTAGTGAATCTAACTTTTCCTGGGCTTTCTTTCACTTGAGAGGGTTTGTTATTATTATTATTGTTTCAATTTTGTTCCTGATTATATATTTACTTATTTATTTCTTGTTGGTTTAAATTTAGTATGTCATATACATCTAGAAATTCATCATTTGT